GCGCCAAGAGACCCATAAGCTATAAAACTTGTCACGTTGCGGAGACAAATTCGAACCTCAAAATATAAAATACAACATTTGCCCGCGGATGTTATTGAACAAAAACCTAATTACTAAGTGTGTTGTTTGTGTTTACAATTAACTTTGTTCACGTTTTTCTTAACAATATTTATGATGACACATCAATGATATTTTATATAAAAAATTGCATACACAAGATGCAAACTGTTTTAGTTCCCTACAACAATACAATTAGCAATTTATATCGACATCTGTAATTTTTTTGGTAAAATGCGATATTGGACGAAAGTTACTATTATTGTTAGATTGTTCACTACAATTATTCAATATTTTACTTGTGGCTTATATTTAAATGATGATTTTCTACTTAATTGAGTATAAAATAACATTTTTTGTTGTTATATATAATACCCTGAACAGGATATATTAAGTTTGCCACGAAATTTGTAACACCAAGAAAGAAACGTCGGAGACCCTATAAAATGTATACATAAATCATACACTATAGTATATAGCTGTAATACAAACTGAACAATTGGAATCAAGTGCTTGTATGGAAAGCTTTTTTATTTGACGTAATATCTTTACGAAATTAGGCATAAGTTATTTCCTAAGGCAACAATCTAATCTCCGAAAAAATTGTTTAGATCGGAACACTATAGCATATAGCTGTAATATTAACTGAACAATCTGAGTAAAGTGCTTGCAAGTGCTGTTTTATTTGACAAGGTATGTTTACGAAAATAGGCACGAGTTATTGTTTAAGGCAACAATGTAATCATTGAAGAAATTTTTCAGATTAGATCACTATATGATATAGCTGCTATACAAGCTGAACGATCGGAATCAAGTGCTTATATGGAAAACTTTTCATTTGACGAAAACTTTGTATCTGTGAAGGGTATTATATTATAGCTTCGGTGCAACCGTTTTTTCTTGTTTTTTATTATTTTTAATGACATTCCAATTTCAGTCAACAACCTTGAGCGGCTCAAGTGTTCTTCAGCTTTGTTATGGATTTGTTTAGTTTTTTCGTATTCTTTCTTTCTCGGTTAATTTGGTGTACGTGTTTTTGTGTATAGCAAATATATGTAGTACCAAAATAAAACCAAATAAACTTAAAAAATGCTTTTTTGAACTCGTTAAAAGCATTACATACATATTTCTACATACAGCCACATATAGTATATATGGCATGCCCATGAATAGTTAGCTTTCTGAGTTAATTTGATTTAATTGATGTATTTGTGGCTAATTAATTACACTTGTTGTTTTGTTAATACTTTTATTTTACTGTTTGTTGTATTTTGTTCAACTGCAAAATTTTTTAGTTTATATAATTATTACAACTCAATTAAAAGTGCATTTAATTAATAAAAACTTCACTCCGCTTATTGTGTCTATACTACTACTTCTTGAAGAGTTATAGAATTTTCTAGAGGAATATTTGTCTTGTTATACTTTTGAAGAGTTATAGAACTTTCTAGAGGAATATGTGTCTAACCAGCTGTGAATTATATGATATCGTACTTTTATATTGGTACCAACTGTTAGTGATATACTTTTATCAATAAATTAAAGGGTATACAAAGAAGAAGATTGTAACGTCGAAGATTGTAACGTTGCCTTGGAGAATAATTTTTGCCAAATTTTGGGAAATAGATATCTTGACAGACAAGGACTGGATTTTGATCGGTCAGTTTGAATGGCAGGAACTCGTATAAGATCCGATATCGGCAATTTCGACAAATGATTTTTGCGTACAAAAGAAAGTGTTCAAAATTTTAAATTGATATCTCAAAAACTAAGTTCGCGTATATACAAACGGAGATAGAGACTGACAAATGGTTATGGCTAAACCCACTCAGCTCGTCACATTGATCATATATATACTTTGTAGGATCTCCGACGTTTCTTTCTGTGTGGTAGTCTCTCAATTGGTCAGTCTACTTTATGGAACTACGATATGTCTAGTCTCAAGATACTTTATATTGGCCATTTCATTAGGGTTGTGAGATTTATTTCTATTGAAAGTCTATATCTTTAAAAACCTCATCCGTTACTTACAATAAAACTTTTATAGTATTTCAAAATATTTTCACATTTTCAAGGACAAATTAGAGTAATTATAATCAATGTTTTCCTGATTTTGATGAATTTTATTTTAATCTATATTAGTCTTGTTCAGAATATATTTTGAAAAGATAATATAAATTCCTACAAATTCAATGATATCACTCAGCGTGCGGAGTTTAGTTAATTTAACCATGCCCGTGTCTGTCTGTCCGTCTGCCTGTATACCTTCCCTTAGAAGATATCGATTTAAAATTTTGCACCCATCCTTTTCTCACCAAGAAGCTGCTTATTTGTTGGACTTTTTCATTTGAGGATATATATTCATGGGTTATTGTTTAAGTCAACGGTGAAATTCCCGAAGAAATTATTCAGATCGAGCGACTATAACATATAGCTACCATACAAACCGATCAATCACAGTTCTTGTAAGGAATCTTTTGTATTTGTGAAGGGTATTATAGCTTCGGTTCAACCGAAGAAAACATTTTTTTTGTTTTACTGTAATTTTCTTATACACATTTATTTTTGTAACTAAATTGTAAAAGTCAATAACAAGGCGATAATTTCCGGGGTTTACCCTCCACGAAAGCTAAAGGCTGGGGTTATTGTGTGATTTTCAATTAAAAAGTGGAGAATTCGCATTTAATTTGTCAATTTTTTTTGTGTCAAAAATGCATAGTATAAATAACTTCTTAAAGAAAACCGGATCCACTTCAGAAAACCTGTGCGCTTGAATACTGAAGTACTTTGCATGATTATCGTGTAAAAACGTACTGGGTCAATAATTTATTGAGATATTGTAAAACTTTGCCAATACACAAACGAAGCTAAATGCAATTAAAATAATTTTATTTGTTATTATCTTTCTTGTATTTGCACATTTATTATACACTTATTATACATATATAACGCTATAAATCTATATATGTATGACAAGAGCACATATTTATCTACGTACATATGGACAACCGTCTGTACGTGTGTTTGTGACCTTTAGTTACGCGTTTTTCTTCAGAAACGGTAAAAGTTGTTTAAACACACCGTACATATACATACGTACATAAATTATAAAATATTTTAACAGACATTAGTACAACACTTGCCCATATGTGTTGATTTATAAGGCCTAAGTAGGCTTTTTAACATAATATATTTTACTTTGTTGTTCACATTCCGATTAATAAGACGCAAGAAATGCTTCTATTTTTGAACGCACCTGAGTGGAAAGAGTCACGAACAATTGATTTCGATGTCAACTCTGTAAATCAATTAAACAATCACTTAGCACTTCATAGTATAACTTGTCGCTTACCAGTTATCAACGCAGCGAGTTGTAAATGTTCCAATAAAAATGTACAAGTATGAAGGTTAGATAACGGCTTAAGGGTTTCCACTAAAGAAATAATTCCATTAAAATCTGGTTGAAATTCCCCCCCTGAGTCAAAAGAGCTCTGTTTTCTATAGATCGTGTGATCCAAGAACCTATTTAGTTCAAATTACATTCTGTTTTTCATTTTTCTATTTTCGATAAAGATAAACTGAAACAAAGTTGGTTTAGTACTCTGTTCCATGAGTACGTACAACCGAGTTTTTAATGAACCGAGGTTCAGCAATGAATATGCTACCCAAGGTCTCCGTTGTTCTAAATAAACTTGCTGTAAGCTATTAAACTTGTTGATAAAGGAAAGGCAGTTGGAGAGCCTTACACACTAATCTATTGGACACAATTTCAAAAAAAAATAGATTCGAACTTACTTATATCCCCATCCGGAGAAAGCCGAATACTACTAATACCTAATAATTAAATAATAGTTGGATTACTTTGGTTATGCTCAATAGATTTGATAATTCTCTGTCCACCCTTGCTCATAATATATATGTACAAGTATATACGAGTATATCTCGCCGAATTGACGAATTATTGATGTTATACGATAAATGTAGGCATCTACAGCTTTTAAGATCTTAAAAGTTTTTTATGGCAGAAATTAGAACTGCAGTTTTTCATTGACTACGAAAACGAGCTTCCGCAAATGATCCGTTTTTAAATATTGTCTATAGAGTAATCACATTTTCATCTTAAATGCATTGCGCATATGCTACGTGTTCTACTGGTAGTATGCACATCTAGCTGATCTGTCATTCAGAGGTCTCTCCATCACTATTAAATTTTTTATTCCCTAACTGTTCTTCTTATTTATTGATTCAAAGATCAAAAAAAAAATTTTTTGAGAACAAAATAAGTTATCTAGTGATTTCCCAATAACACTAGGGGAAATACCGTCCATCTACTTCTATAACGGCTTTTTTGAAAACAAACGTCAAGTAGATTTCGGAGTTGCTTGTTGTAAGACCGCAACTAAAACATCTCTGATGCTCTTTGTTAATTCAATATCCGTTAGGCGAACGCGAAATTGGTCGGTTGAAGCCATAAAATAGAGGTATAAGATCGGATATACTAAATTACCGTATATATTTCAGAATGTAAATTTTTGCATTGTTCGATAATATCTGCTCTATCATTCCTGTGTAGTAGTCTAATTTGAGCCGAACAGGAAAGTCAGTTCCATTTAATGCATGAAACTAATCCTGAATGTGGTGCGTTCGAAAGATACTTCAATAAAGTATAACATTTTAACACTGGGTATATGTCAATAGCACAGACATTGTGATCGCTAAAGCTCTTAAAATAATTACACTAAATTATCTTTTTGATAAGGCTTGGATTTGATAACATGTTGCCATTGACAGAAGTGGTCTGAATTAGTTACCCTAATTGTCTAGTACCAAATTTGCAGACTAAATGATTAAACGTATAATTTTTCATTATATATCATTCTAGAAACTATACAGAGAGATATGTACATATATGTAATTAAAATGTTTATTCACTTTTTTGACAGCAACCATACCTAGAATAGAGAATACCGATATCATCGAGATCAAATAGGAGAGACCGCTTTTGTTTCTAAAAATGTCGAAATTTTGGGCCGCCTTAACCCGCCGAAAAACGGACGATGTCGTGGAAAACGAATCACAATTAGCACGTGTACTCAATCTCTTCGATCTTACTGCACTCGGTGTAGGCAGTACGCTCGGTCTAGGCGTATACGTACTCGCCGGTTCAGTCGCTTATAATATCGCCGGTCCAGCCGTCACCATATCATTTCTCATCGCTGCGCTTGCATCCGCTTTTGCCGGCATATGTTATGCTGAATTTGCAGCTCGTGTGCCAAAAGCTGGCTCTGCATACGTTTACAGTTATGTAACAATTGGAGAATTCGTAGCATTCACTATCGGTTGGAATCTGATATTGGAATATGTGATCGGTATGTGGACATGTTTATACTTATTCATTTAGCTCAATGATGTATGCTTAAACATTGGGTTTATTCTACAACCATATATTTCCTTTCTGAATAGGCACCGCCAGTGTAGCTCGCGGTCTGAGCGGCTACTTTGACGCGCTCATCGATAATAACATGTCGAAGAAGTTGACGGAGGCCATACCTATGAATGTGGATTTCTTAGCGAAGTATCCGGATTTCTTAGCCATGGGCGTAATTTTGCTGCTGGCGGCATTACTTGCCTTTGGTGTGAAAGAGTCTAGTTTCTTGAATAATATTTTCACGGCTGTAAATCTAATCACAATTGCTATAGTATTAGTAGCTGGTGCTATAAATGGTAAGTACATTATAAATCGTTGAAAGCCGCATATGTAACTTTCTTTTTTTTATTTCTAGCTAACCCTTCTAACTGGAGCATACCAAAAGATCAGATACCCGAGACTGACAATAATAGATTCGGCAGTGGCGGTTTTATGCCATTTGGTATTACCGGTGTTATGGCCGGGGCAGCGAAATGTTTTTATGGTTTTGTAGGCTTTGATTGCATAGCCACAACTGGAGAGGAGGCAATTAATCCAAAGCGAAATATTCCACTCGCGATCGTTATTTCGTTGATTATCATATTCTTGTCTTACTTCGGCATTTCGACGGTACTTACTATGATGGTGCCTTATTTTGAACTGGTGAGTTTAAAATCTCTGAGAACACCGATAGCAATAGGCTATAAATGTATATTAATCTCTCAATATCTACTTTGAATATGTTTTCCTCACCGTATGTCAAAATATTTTTAGACAATTCACCAAACGTCTATAGAGCGTTGAAAAGTGTCTTCTATTCGCACATTAAAGTTTTTGTTTAATTATACTCCACTTATGTTATTCACTTCTCAATTCATTCTAATTTTTCATTTTCTTCTAGGATAAAGATGCACCATTCCCGAAGGCTTTTGATGACATTGGTTGGTCCGCTATTAAATGGATTGTTACAATTGGCGCAGTCTTTGCCTTGACCACAAGTTTGTTGGGTGCTATGTTTCCATTGCCACGTGTTCTTTATGCCATGGGCAACGACGGAATTCTCTACAAATCATTTTCGAAAGTACATAACTACACCCAAACACCATTGCTGGCAACAATTATAGCGGGAATTTTTGCAGGTAAGCATTAATAAAAAGTTTGGAAACACTGAAATAGAATTAAAATAAGAATTCGACAATTATTACAATAATCAATTGCGGAAAAGTTATGACCTAGTTTCGGTACCGTTATGATTTTCTTTCTGGGAGACTTAAACGCACTTTTTAAGGTTAATAAACTCCTTGGTGGATAAACTTGCGTTTGTTCCGGAAGGCGAAAACTTTATTAATGTGTTTTTGTATTCTAGATAGATATTGAAAAACCAAATATCGAAATATTAATTATATTTATATTTTGCTGATATACTGATACCTTAATTGCTGATATGATCTTGGATTTTGGTAGAAGGATTAAGTTTGAAGGCACAGCTTCAATATTTATTGAGGTCCTCTAGGTTTTTATGCCACAGCGACTATATATGTATTAGAAATGCTTAATAATGCTTCATATATGATTATTTCATCTAGGAGTTATGGCACTTATTTTCGATCTGGACCAGCTGATCGACATGATGTCCATTGGTACACTACTGGCTTACACAATCGTAGCGATATGTGTACTCGTACTGCGCTATCAGGATGAAGATATGGATACGAAGACAATCTCCGTTAGTTGTCCCAAAGTTATACGTCAATTCTTCAATGGAAATTCTTATCGTGAACCAAATTTATTTACATCACGTATTACAAAAATAGCCGTCGTAGTATTTGCGCTAGTGTGCATCGTCTGGGATATAGTAGAGGCACTTTTTGGCTTAACGTCGACAGAGGGTGCGGTGGCACTAGGTGTTATGGGTGTGCTGCTCATATTTATTGTGATTATAATTGGTATGCAACCGGTCTCGACAATTGAGTTAACTTTCAAAGTTCCACTTGTGCCGTTCATACCTTGCTTAAGTGTTTTCGTGAATGTTTATTTGATGTTCCAGCTGGATGTGAATACTTGGATACGTTTCCTTGTATGGGTTGCCATTGGCTTTGCCATTTACTTCAGCTACGGTCTGCGCAATTCTACACAGGTCACGAGGAATCGTAACCACGCCGAAGCAGCGATAAGAATGCAACATACAAATCAGGCATTTGAACCGGACTGGAAGGTGGAGAACGGTGGTAATGGGGTTGTGGAAAAGCAGTAGTAGTATTTTATTCAAAGTAAAACTTATATGAAATGTTTCCGTAAATATTAAGCATGGCTTAGAGAATCATGATGTGTTGGCAACCGTATTAATTAGATGAAATTGGAAATATCTAACATTGTCGACATTAAATGTAGATTTAAGCGTGGCGTAAAAACCATCCGATGGATGAAATAATAGTTCCAAATGTCTATACTGTTTCAGGTTGTTCAAGAAATTATAATTGTCCGCGCATTACTATTTCTTAGAGTAAAAATGACAATAACTGTTTCGGATATAGAAAATTTCTTGTATGCCATTCCAACTTTTAAACTAAAAATACTATTTTTTTTATACTATTTTTGTAAACTTTTGTACAAATAATTTATTCTATTTTACTTTATTTGTATTTCACTTTTCTGTATTTCTTGCCTTTCTTCTAAATTTTACAACAGTACTCAAATTTGAGAAAAAATCATAATAGTTTGCTAAATAAGAAATGTACATAAGTTCGAGAGAGATGAATAGATTGCGCATAAAAACTAAACGTTTGCCATTATTGTCTGGTATTTGAGCTGCCCTTTTTCGTGCACACTGTGTTAAATGTTTTAATAATTTAAAGAAGAAATTTACATAGTAAATTGTATAAAAAGTACGCTAATTTTTTTTAATTTCATAATGCTCAAGTATCCGATTTGATTAACTCCTGCCACAAGCAATTACGTTGTTTTTATGTGCCCATTCCATTGTGCTATCATTACTTTCTTTTTGTTTACCTTTTTTTTGTTAGCTAATACTTTTTTTAAACAATTTTAATAGAATTTATAGTTCTTCTGACAATTTGTGATATTGTAAAAATACAGTATATACCTAGGTAATTTAAATGTTTGTTTTTAATTACCTGTCACAACAAACATTTTCGTAAATAAGTTAAGCGATTTATTGCTGAAACTGTAATATGAGTAAATAAAAAAAAAAATATATTATATATAGAGGTAATTACAGTTTTAAATATGTATAAATTGTAATTATTTTCTAGTAGTTTTATTAGTTATAAATGTAAACATATGTATGTATATATTGTATAATAAAATAGTAATTTGTAAAATAATCGGATAAATAATCACAAAAAAAATTTCCGCTCACATGTTGTGGAATACTAAATGAGCAGAAAATCTTAGGCATGACCGTGACTTCGACGCTCTACCGGACCAATAGCATATGATTTATTGATTGCTTTACCATGTTCACCATTAAATTTACCATAAAATTTGACATACATACATACATACATATCCTATCCAGAGACATTTTCGAAATTTTATACTATTTAATATGGTTTAACCTAATGCAATTAGATAGTAAGTAGCTGACAGTTTATCCGTTCCAAAAGTTCATATACGAGTATATATTCATCATAGTTTCCAATGTGGTTTCCAAAATGGTAAAAAAAAAAAAAGTTTAAGTTGAGGGCCAAGTTACAACCGATGTCTCAGAATAAAACGAAATGATCTTGCAATATTATTATTCTGTAAGACTGTGTAGTACGTAGTACTAGTATTTACTTATTTAGTTACAGTTTATATTGTAACGGATTTCTTGATAAATCGTCTACCTAAGAAAAAGTCCAAATTTAATGGCAATGCACATATCTTTATTTGTAATCCAAACAACTTGACACTTTACTACCCATTATCCGAATTCACAACTTCTTACTTATATCTTAATTGTTCTTTACACGGCAACACTCCAACTAGAACTGACTCTGCTGCACAATGCGTCAAACTTTATGTAGTAGATATTTAACAAAACATCGCTTGTCGAAAATTCTGGCAATGTATCGTCGATTCGATTTTTTTCTATCATCCGTGTTCGTCACAATGTCAGTATTTGTAGGACATCGAAATTTCCCATTATTATCGTAATGTTTGTTAGGTATATTTTAAGAGCAATCCTTTGAAATTTGTCTCACCGCGACACACATTTCTCAACGATAGTTTTCATCTTGAGTAAATTCATTAAAAAAATTCACTATATCCAATACTTTCATTTACTTCGACCTTGAGGGTCACTCTGTTACTTTTGAACAATTTACATTCAAGAGATTCTTTAAACTTTATTTATTAAGTTGCTGAACGTGTGTCATATTGTCTCATTTGTTGGAACTAGGATCACTAATTAAAAATATAGTATCACTAATACGTTTAATTATGTAAATTTCAAAGTGTAAAATTGATGCACATATTACAAAAAAAGTGTCCCTTATCTAAGAGAGAATGTTTGATTAAGTTCATGATCCTCTCTAGCGATTCGCCAGTAAAATGAAGCCTAAGAATTTAATGCTGTGTATTTATTCAATAGCTTTTAAATTTATTACAGTTGCAAATGTAAACATTTGAGAAAAACTCGATTAAAGAAGCTCTGGTCACATGTGAGATGCCTTCCGCGTAGTGGTCGAAGTTGTTTTCGTAAACGCTTAACCTTGTTGAGATCCATAAAACTTCAAAATCGGCCTTACTCGAAGATCTGCACTTATTTGCTAATTAATTGAACTCGTGAAAAGTGTTGTAAGGAGCCTAAATTCTGCGTTTCTTTATAGCTTCTTCAATACTTTTGAATTCCCAATGACTGCACTAATATTTTGTAATTCCTTCCTTCTACTTCGCCTAGGTTGCTGGGTACAGCTACCGACTCTAATGAAAATAAACAGTTAATCCACCCTTATTTATTGATTTTTCGACGAGGAAAAACCCTACATATCGGTAAAAATTCGGTTAAAAAATCGGATATGTGAGCATTACCTTTATAAGTGAGGCAAAAAAATATAAATTGTATGGCTAAAGATTAATCAATTTACCGATAGAGGCAGGATGTTAGCAGAGCACTTCAAATTGGTCACTGAATGTGTGTGGGATACATAACATCGAACTAAATCCAATGTCTAATTATTTCGACATTTGCTTAAAGCGGAACTAGACATTTTAAAATATTGCTTACGAAAAGTTCTCTCATGATACTAATCGCAGTAACCACGATAACGAATGTGAGGAAGTTATAATGCCTTCTACGAGTTTTATATCTACATAACCAGGGAGACTTGTAAGTTAGTATCTACTTTGGCTACGGTACTTAGTTCGAATTTATGAAATAGAAGGTAGATAAAGAAAATAGACTTATTTTTAGATTTTGGGAATAGCAGAAACTTGAGACTTTCGGATTTCAGAAAAACATTTCTTATAAATAATGATATTAATCCCTACTATCTCTCTATTACATATAAAAGTTTTCTGCTGCTGTCGAGAATCAACTAACATAAGAGCGAGCTAGCTCGCGCTCGGCGGGGGGCGGACGTAGGCGAGCGAGCGAAGCGAGCGTCCCGAAGCGCAGCGGAGGGCGCCTAGTACTTTATAAAATAATATAACAGAAAGTATTGCCAAAAAAATTTCTCATCACATCAACGGCATCCTTACTATAATCTCTTTTTGAATTCGACATCGAACTAACTTTTCACTTATTAATACGTGGATAAACATGCTATGTATTCCCTTTTTTCTTTCAATGATGGTTCTGTAACAATAATAACATTTATTTAAGGGCTAAGCAGGGCCAGACGTGTCTATGTTTATATAACATTTGAATATTCACGCTTATTAGGTTTAATCTCTAACACCAAATATCCTAAGTGAAGGACTAATTGTGAGCCAAAGAGTAAGTGTGGTAATAAAATTACGAACTTTGTCACATACTAACTACTTTTATTTAAAAGCCATTCCGACACATATAAAATGCGGTGACGTTTGCTTTAGAGAGGACTAGACAGCTTTGTTACATTATCAAAATAAAAAAAAGGAATTGTAAAGGACGAGAAGTGTTGATTTAAGTGAAAAAGAACTGAAGTGCGCAGAAAAAATTCTACTTTACCAACAGAGGGGTGGTAATGTCAGATAACTCCTACGGCATTCTGGGTCAGACTATACGATGGTTCGGCATCGATGCTAGGCATTAGCATGTGCATATGTGATATTTCCCACAGATTTATTTCCACTCAAAAGATGGCAATGTTGAAATTATTCAAACTAAGTAGGGAACGGTTCAAACCGAACCGCATAGTCTTATTATGAAACTAGGAGGAAGTCATTGACATTCGATTCATCTATATGAATTGGAGATTTTATTTTAACGTGACTAAAGCTAAACTCATTTTATAAAAATTATTTTAAATTAAGTGGTCCGAATATGTGAAAGCACTAGAGTTTCTTTTGAAAGTTCGAAGCTGCAAAGTCTGCTCGAAAGAGCCACAATCTTTATTTGCAATCAAGTTTTTTAAAAAAGCGCCGTAGGGATATTTACCGCTGATGACCCTTGCACTAATAGTCCAGTCATTATAATAAGTTCACCTCGGAATTCAGATACCCAGCTGTAAGTCTGTAAATACTTGTATATTGACACCCTAAAAGTTGTCTCAAAACCTACATATGGTAGGGTGTACGCAACTATTAAATTTCAAGGTCAAAGGTCACAAAAATCGGTTTTTTGCGCTTTTTTTGTAAATATCTCATTTTCTATGGGTTTTTTGCTGTTGGTATTTATTATCAATATTGTAGAATACAAAATTCTCTACAAATTTTGTTTAAACATTTTTTTCATACGGTGAACCGTTTTCGGGAGAGAGGGCTTAGAGCGCGCGGTCACAGCATCACTTCAGGTCAACCGGTGCCTCCGATCAAAAACGCGCCATATATAGTTGATGAACTATCGATAAATCAATGATTATTAATATTTGTCAATTTTTATTAACTATTATATTATATTTTATCATTTTCTTCATGCCTTAAATCTTTATCTATTCAATAATACTGATCACCGTTTCCTAAAATTAAAATATAATGAAGGGAAAAACTTAAATCTTACTATAATTATATTCCCATTAACACTAATGACATTTTAATTAGAAAAAAAATTAAGTGCATCTTCTTTAAAATCTGTAAATTTGCAAATAATAGGACAAGATATTGATTTACTCAGAGACAACTTTTAGGGTGTCAATATACAAGTATTTACAGACTTACAGCTGGGTATCTGAATTCCGAGATTCTTACCTAATTTAAGCTTAAATGACTGGACTATAAGGTTGGATCGGTTCTATATCACTTCGAGTGAGAATAGCGGCGTATTCTGAAATAAACTAACATATTTCCTATATTATTCAGCATCGGTCATTAGTCCGATAGGATTGGAAACCCTTCTCAGTGGGTATCCATTAAGAAGCAGTACCGAAAAGAACAATTGACGAAGTGGGAGAAACAGGTACTGGTGGTAAACTACCGACTCAGAAGAATTATTACTGGGTGGCTATATGTTTCAAAGTTATGAGGCTCAAGTGTCTAATAAATCTCTCTAAGAAGAAAGTTAGGCTATTTACGACAAAGTTAGTTTCAATATACACAGACCACTATTGACTCCTAAGACATTTGTGCTATGTCACTTATGCGATGCAGAGGAAGAGAAAACTCCAGAGCACCTGCTTCTTGATTGTGTAGCACATAAGTGAAAAACGAGTAAAATACTCGAATTATTAGAGTGCCGATATAATGTGAAGCTTGGTAGGTACAATAAATCGCAGTACAAACATCAGTTATACATACATATATTATATTTTATTCTATGACCCTATTGGCACGATCATGATAAACATAACCTAAATTTTTGTGGAAATATAATAATACCTCTTGAGCAACAAAGTGTTAGCTTGTATATAAAGACCAAAATGAACATTATTTAAGTGTTTGGAAAG